GTTTCTAACCCTTTGGCTATGGCCAATGGTTTTGTACCTTTAGTTGCTGTCGTTTGGCTTTTGATTTTGCTCCATCTTATGTTTTAACCATGCTAGGTCAAGCGACCTGCTTCTGGTTTGGCCGTGCTCGAGATCTTTAATTGTTCTTTCCAATTCTTATCGATCGATGTAAATTGATGTACTATTAAGCCCCCTACTTGAGGAGTACACAAAAAAGTTGATAGGGAGTACTCAAGTATGTAGACAATGGATACTTTATTGATTCAAAACGTAAAACCAATAATCTTAATTTTCGTGGGATAAAAAACAAACGAAAGAGAAACAAAGAATCTTGAACCTATCCTATACTTTTTAGTTGAGTGAAGAAATCAATGGTCACCCGCAGTAGAAGCCTTGTCGCTGCCCTTCATAGAAGCGTAGTAGCACTCACGTGATACTTGTTGCTCTCCTTTGATCTCACCTATTCCACCAAGTGTTGGGAATTTCATAGATTGGTGGTATGTGGACAGTATTGCTTTGAGCATGTGCTTTGTTGGTCTTCCTAATATCGCATTATAGGAGGATGTATAGTCGACGACCAAAAAGTCTACTATTTTAGTGATGCTTTTTGGCCCGCTTCCGAACGTCGCCGGCAATTCTATTCTCTCTTCAGGGATGGCCCGTTCTCCTCCAAACCCTTCCAGCGGTGCCGGGTGTTGTGGGCATGCTTGTCCAGGGTGTGTTACCCATGGCCGCATGTCCAAACCATCCTCGCCACTCGTTTTACTTACATGTCTTTAAAGCTTTCTAGTGTAGTTTGTTTGTATCGGGTTGTTAGGGTTGTAGGTAGAATTTGGCCGAGCGGCTTTAGAACTAGGTGTGTATTGGTAAGATATGTAAGCACGCCAAATTTCAAGCCAATCAGAGTTCACACGGGGCCTTTAGGCCACCGAGTGACTCCTCGCCACTTTGCATGTCTATACCTGCCACACCAAAAATGCCTTATAATGTACCTTAGGGGGACCAAGTAGTCATCAAACCTCCCCCCGACCAAGTGTTGTATACTTTCTTGCAATCAAAGCTTTCTTGCATCAAATATTTACAATGCTTGTTTTAAAGATGTTTTCAACTGTTTTTCTCTCTCACATTTTCCAAAACCAATTTTCTCGTAAAACATGAGCAGAGGCTAGACCAACGACCGAGATTGCCCGCAACTTACAATTTTTCCCAGCTGACTTGCTCGTCTGAGCTAGAGCAAGTGCCGCACAATCACTCGAGCTATGATAAAAAGGTGTAACTGTGACACCGGGCTACTTTTAAGCACCTTCTCTCCTAGGTCCATCGTTTTGTAAGTTGTCAAGGAAATGATATCTGCCGAGCTGCCCCTATCTACCAAGATCCGATGCACCTTTTCATTGGCTATTTTCAGAGTCATAACCAGTGGATCGTTATGTGGGTAGAGGAGGTGAGTCGTCTCATCCTCTGAGAACTTGATTTTTGCCGGTTGTTCTGCAACAAATGCATGGTAGATCTCATGTTGTCTGAGGCTTGCGATGGTTTCTTGTATGCTCGTCTTTCTCGTTTTGCAAGATTCTCTCTCTACCGGACCTCCCATTATTGTTCGGATTTCTCAAGCGAGTGACTTACTATCGTTCTCACCATTTTGCATTGCTTTAGGATCCTCCACATATTCTTCGAGATATCCTCTTCAGATGAGTCCTTCCACTTCTTCTCCGAGATCAAAGGAATCCTGAGTAGCATGGCCGTGGTCTCGATGGAAAAGGTAATATCGTCCTTTGCTTCTTTTACTTGGAGGTGCTTTCATCCTCTCTGGCCATTTGAGCAACCTTTGGTCTTTGATCTCCATCAGCACTTGCTCGAGTGGGACTGTAGTTGAGGTATACTTCTCAAACTTCCGGGGTAGATCCTTTTGGCTAGTCTGATATCTTTTCTTCCATCTCGACGACTGTGGATTATCTTCAGATCTCTCCCTCTTCTAATCGCATCGTTTTCCCTCTGACTATTTCTTCGAGTGGAAGAACTCTCTGGCACTTATATATTTCTCGGCTGGGGTCAGCACCTCCGAGAAGGTGCTCGACATCTTTTTCCCAAAAGAGAACGATAGGTGTTCATCCCTGATGCCAGACATGAAAGCTAGTAGAGACACTGCATCCGTGAGACCCTCAACATGTAATTTCTCTTCATTAAACCGAGCCACATAGTCGTGAAGGCTTTCCGTTGCTCTTTGTTTAATGGTCAGAAGATAAGCCACGGGTCGGCTTCGGCTTCGGCTTCGTCCTCCTACGAACTGGGTCACAAATGCCCTAGCCAGGCTCTTTTAAAGCTCGAGATCAAACCTCGCTTCAATTGTCGAAACCATACTATGGCCGACCTATTCAAAGTTGTCGAGAACACCCGACATCTGATCGTCTCTGACACCCCGTATATCCATCCATTCTCGGTAAGCGTCAAGGTGGTCTACTAGGTCAGCCGACCCGTCAAATTGTTTCACCGTTGGTAGTTTGAATTTTGGGGGGACCTTCTCTCTCATGATTTCTTATGTAAGCGGTGAGTCGGCTTGATCCAGCAGCTCTTCAAGATTGAACCCTTTTTCTTTTTTACTTTGCGATCTACCGGTTTGTCTTTGTCGAGGTCTATGGGCTCAACATTTTGTTTATCTTGGTTGCTCTTGCCCCCATCCAGTACTGAGGATTTCTTTCGCTTTTTGTCCTTGTGTTGGCCTTGGGAATCGAAAATCCGAGTTCGTCGCTTGATGTTTCCTCCTAACCTCAGCCTGCTTCCTACACTTTTTGTTGATTCTTCAGCCTCACTTTTTACTAGGCCTTTTCCCTTTCGGGGGTTTCTGACGAGGGGTACCTCGCCGGCCTCTCGTCGTTCTAGTTGTTGAAGTAGCTGGAACTGATTTTGGAGCTGTTTAGGAGCTGTTATTGTAGGCACCTCAAGTGGCCCTTCTTGGCGCTCCAGGTTTTGTCGATTCACCTCATCCTCAAGTTCCCCTATCTGGAGGTCATCCAAGTTTAACTTCCTCCTTACATGGCAGTCATTGTCAGAGTGTCGTGGACTTCTTTCCGGCGTCATTGCTGTTCGACTGTACGTCTTGTTTCTCTTCCCCATAGATGGCGCCAATTGTTGATGCGTGGATTATGCTCTCCCGGTTCCTTCTAAGGTTCGCACCAAACTTGATTATCAGGGAATCGAAGACCTGCAAAATCAAACAAAGCTAAATCGGTGTGACTCCTATCACACGGGCTCTGATGCCTAAGTCAGCAAGGAGAGTAGATGAATAATAGAATTCCAGTGTAGAACTTGGCTTACCTTAGAGTTAGGTTGCATGGCCTATTTATAGTAGCTCGGAAGGTTCCAGAACGTTTGGTTAAGTGAGCCTTAGTTCATCGTTGCAAGGCGCAAGGTACATAGAGATCAGAAGAGGACATTTATCGAACTCCGCAATGGACCGAGCCCGGGTCGGAACCGAGCTGTGCTCAGCTCGGTCCAGTTCCGTCAGTGGCTCCCTTGGTTTGCCGTTTGACGTTTTTTTTTTGTATAACATTATTTATCTCTTTCAAGAATTTTATCTCTTATATATTTTTATTAATATTTTTCCAAACTTTTATCTCCATTCAAATTTTGCATTTAATTATAACCTTTTCTTCTTTTCCGTAAATATATCTCCAATTTTTTTCTATCCAATTTTTTTCTTTTAATTAATTTATTTTCAAATACATCTTGAAATTTTTTGTCTAAATTTTTTTCTTACTACAATTTTTCTCTTTTTAATAATTCTTAATAACTCTTTCTCTAACATGTGTTTTACTCAACTTTACTCTCTTTATCTAAAATTTTCTTGGTTTGTCTATAATTTTTCACTAACTCATTTTTTCTATAAATATTTTTCTTTCTCTATAAAATTTATTTTAATTTTTTTTATATCTCTAAAATTTTATTTTCATGTCTCTACATTAAGGATGCCCGTAGGGCCGAATCCCCCTCTAAGGTCAAGGAGTGCATTTCTTCCCAATGCTATTCTATTTTTTAAAATAATCAATATTTAGTTTATTAAATATTTTACTAATTATTTATAATAGAAATAATAAATTTCACTAAAATATAGAATAATTTATATGTATTTATTACTCTATTTTATTTTTAAATTCTAAAAATAATAAAAATTAATTAACTAAGCGTTAATTTTCTTGTCCAGATCTCCATCCGAAACAAGGATTTCACAACCTAGACCTCAATTTTGGAAGTCAAGAATAATGTAGAGATGAAGACTAAAAATTTATGTGAGGACAATGATAGAAAGTGCATCACCAACTCTTACCGCAGTCCATTGTCATCTCTATTTTCTTTCTCTCACACATCTCTTCAACTCTCTAAACTTTCTAAAATTAAAAAACAAAAAATGGTCATCCAACATGTTGATATTTTTTTAAATAAAAAACAGTTATCAAATATTTTTATTTTTTAAAATAGAAAATTAAAAGTAGAAAACAGAAAAATAAAAAACTAAGAATCCTTAGCAATCTAAAAAAATATATTATTTTGAGGTACTCCGAAGTCGTCCTAGTCTAGTCTCCTACCCCAGGTGCTTAGCCTTACTTTTTCCCCTGAATTTCTTCCCACTCTTATCAGTTGTTGAATATCTATTTCACGGGATCCATCCATCCGTCCATCCCAAGCTCAAATCGAAATAAAATTATAATATTTAATTAATCTGTTGTTTTGTTTTTGGAGAAATGGGCGTGGCACGTGAGTACAAAGGACGGTGGTTTGAAACCGAGATTTGATTTCTGAAACGCTAAAAATAAAATTTTAAAAATTAAAAATCATGACGTACTCGGAACAAACGCCGTTTCATTTCAACCCCTGAAATCAAAACGGCCCTCTTTTGTTCTCTAGCTGTTGTCTGCCGTATCTCATCTCAATTCTCCATCCATTTTTTGAATTCTCTCTCTCTTTCTCTTCCCCCGTTTTCCTTTTCACAGTTCACACTCCACTTGTGTCGTGTTCCTCTGCCCTGTTTCCAAATTCCCTCTATAAAACTCCAAAACTTTCACATTTTCCTTCCAAGGTGGGATTAATGGCGGTGGCTTCCAGAGGGAAACTCAGCGACCTTCAAATCCCCAAGTTATGGAAGGACAGAGACGCCACCAGTCCCGACCGGACCATCGTCTGGACCGAACCCAAGCTTCGCACCTCCGACAGGAAGCTTCCCGTCGTTTACTATCTCTCCAGAAATGGCCACCTCGAGCACCCTCATTTCATGGAGGTCCCTCTTTCCTCTTCCGAAGGCCTCTATCTCAGAGGTTCTTTTCTATTCTAATGGCGGATTTTCCTTAAAAGTCTTTTTTCAAACCTTTCTGCTTCGTTTTTCCGCTTTTTTTGACTTTGACTCCCCCAAAAAATAGTTCACTGCCTCTGTTTGGTTGCCGAGAAAAGGCTCCAGAAAACGAAAAATTTAATTGAGACAATTTTCTGTTGCGCAGATGTAATCAACCGCCTGAATCTGCTTCGAGGGAAGGGTATGACGAGCATGTACTCGTGGTCTTCGAAAAGGTAAGTTTAATAATGGCGGTTTTCGTTTTTCGGTTCATTGAGTGAATTTTGCATCTGATTGGTTTAGGGTTTTGAATCGGTTCTCAGGAGCTATAAGAATGGGTTCGTGTGGCACGACTTGTCTGAGAACGATTTCATTTACCCGTTGCATGGTAAAGAGTATGTGCTGAAAGGCTCGGAGATTCTTCATTCTTCTTCGGGCAGCCAGGTCCAAGGCTCGGAATCTTCTAGATCTCTACGGCCGCCGGAGGAATCCGATTTCCCGATCCTCTCTCGCCGCCGCAACCAGTCCTGGAGCTCCGTCGACTTCCACGAGTACAAAGTCTACAAGACCGATTCGAGCTCCGACTCGTCCGCAAAAGCCGCCGCCGCCGATGCTTCGACTCAGACCGACGAGAAGCGGCGGAGGCGGCGGGCGGCGAGGGAAGAAGAGAAGGAAGAGAAGGAAACAGAGGAATTGATGAACCCTACGCCAAGTACGGAGCTCAGCCGGGAAGAAATATCTCCTCCGCCGTCAGATTCGAGCCCGGAGACGCTGGAATCTCTGATGAAAGCCGACGGCCGTTTGATCATTTCCGAGAGCGCAAACGGAGACCAGCCGAATCGGACGGCGGAGAGCTTCCCGAGCGGGAGGATGAAGGCGTCCGCAGTTCTGATGCAGTTGATCTCGTGCGGATCGATCTCGTTTAAGGACTGTGGAGCAACATCAATGGAGGATCAAGAATTTTCTCTGGTGGGTAAATCCAGAGCGGCCCGCGGAAAAGAAACAGCAGGGACATCGGCGGAAATAGTGGGTTTCTCAGGGGTAAGATTGGAAGATAAAGAATACTTCAGCGGGAGCCTGATCGAGACCCAGAAAGCGAAGGAGGCTCCTGCGGCTCTGAAGAGGTCATCTTCTTACAATGCCGACAGGTAAGGTTTCTCTGTGTTCTTACTTTTCGCAGATTTCGAGTCAGAAAAATTTTTGATTCTCTGCTTGGGCCACCATTGGATTTGGCTCTAAGATTCGTATGGAATCGGGAAAGGAAAAAAAAAGTAGATTAAAATCAACATTCATTTTGTTTGTTGCGCAGCTATAGATAATTGAGGAGTGTACTGTTTTGAACTGTTTGTTTCCTAATCTAGCAAAACAGGAACTGTAAATTGCCCACTTTCCTGCTTCAATCACTCCATTTCACTCCATTCCATTCATTTTTCTGTTCGACTGGCTATGCATGATTTGAAATTTTTGAGAATGCCCTCAATCTGTTTGTTTTTATGTCCAAGCAGGATTTGGCCATTTTAGACTGTTTTTATTCTCATTTGTTGTTTGAGATTGCTTTCCATCTGTTTGTTTAAATGTCAAAAGGAAGAATCCTTCGTTATTTGAGATTGCCTTCCATATGGGCTATATATATATATCCATTGTTTTCCTCAATCACTCTGTTTTGCTGCTTGCTAGTCCCAAAAACCTCATTTTTCAAAAGACTGTTTGATATTTAGAAATCTCTGAAATGAAATGAATGCACATTTGAATTTCAGGGCCTCACAGCTGCAACTGTCGGAGAAAGAGATAGACGGAGATGCAGCCCGCTCGAAATGCATACCAAGAAAGCACAAGGCATCGTCCCATCCGACTGCGATGAAGGAGACTAATATCCTTGACGATGGTCCTTCTATCAACTTAGTCAGCAACATCCAACATGGAAGCAAAAGAGTGGAGCAACAATGAGAGAGAGAGAGAGATTATTAGGATATCCATCAGTCAACTAAGAAATCCGACACAGAGCTCTCTAATCTTAAACTCATCAATCAATCAAACAAGAGAAAAGAAAGAAACATGTTTGAGATTTGAATAGGAATKGTGTTGGTGTGGAGGGAAGTCCAGATGGTGGGTACTTGTGATGGAATTTTAGGCATTAATCTCGAATTTGACAATTGACAACATTTTTCTTCTTCTTTTTTTTTTTGACTAAAAAGTGAAAACTTATGGACTTTGAAGTATAGAAAGGTAGGGTCACGGGTGACGACTCACGAGTAGAGGCGTCGGCACTGGAAAGCCGACACTTACCTTATTGAAAAGAAGACGTGACTTGTGAAATTGGCATTCGAATTTTTACTTTTGGCTCCCGCCCCCACAACTGCTAATTTTGCAGAAAATATCGCTGAAATAGAATAGTCGTGGAGTCGAGGGACTGCAACGCCAGTTTCTTCTCCCATTTCTGGCTCCACTATCGAGGCTCTTTTTATTTTTAAACTTTTCCGACATAAATAGACTAGGTTAAATCACATCACCACCTATCCTAGCCTTATGATTTCATAATTTTAATCTCGTATGATATGATTTAAAAATTCATTTGAGACCATAGTCTCGATCCGGTCTTTATAATTTTAGAAATTGTTCATATTGTTGGCATTTTCCCCTATCACATTTGCACAAGAAATTTATACTGGTTCATCCCAACTATAGGTTATGTCCATTCTTTCGCGACAATGAATTTTACTATAATTTTGACATAATACAATTGGCAAATACAATAATCTATCAAATCTAGAGGTCTCCAAAAAAGTAATCTAGTTTCTAGGAACCACAACAATAGAATCCTAGGAAATAGGAATGAGAAACCTCACCAAATACCAACGAAAATAGGTTGTCGATGATGCTTTACAATTCCGAGATCTCGTCTATGAAACTCTGCCAAATATCACTACTGCTGACATCTGAAAATTTGTGCACCTACACGTTCAGCCGCCACTTTGATGTGCAACAACACATAAACAAAACCTAAACAAAATGACTCTATTTATCGGTGGCTAAATATCCTAATTCTTATTGTAAAAAACAAAATTCTACTCCTGATAGGAATCTGTATAGGGTTGAAAAACATTTTCTTCATAAGACATAAGTTTCCTATTTTGGCTCAATTATCCCAACAATCTCCCACTTGGAGACAAAACATCGATCTTGCCTCCCACTACACCAACAGCGTTCCATCATCTTGGCAACCCCACCAAGGCTAGGTTCTAACTACACCACCAGCTTCTAACTGATCAACGTCCTCTTGGCACCGACCAAGGCTGAACTTCCAATGTATCGATAGTTTCTAATATCTTCTTGGCACCAACCAAGGCTCCAATTTTAATTGCTCTGAGATTGAGCAATCTTACGTGGTCTTATCTCCTAAATGTTAAGGACATAGTCATGTGCTCCCACTCAAACTGAGTGTGGTCACTGACATTTCCTTCTTCAGTCGCACCCAACGACTCCTAAAGAAAGATTTCCCTACGATGACTTGACACTCTCACCTAAGTTTGTTGCCACTCTAGAGACCTCAGCACCAACTGTAGTTTTTCTCCTCAATGCACTCATTCGCCTACGCGACTTCATTAACTCGCTAATCCGACTGACAGCTAGGGTATTATCTTTATAGACTACTAAACACCTCATTGAGCTGTTCCCCTTTCCCTCTTTCCTACTTCCCAACTATTTTACTTGAACTGGTGGCAGATTCTCCTGATATGTCCTGATTGTCAATGCTGCTAGTTCTTTCAAGTCTCCCTTTAACTATCTGCAGCCCTGTGTATAACTTGTCTCTCTGATACTTTGGCAACATTAAACCTGGACATATACACTGAACCTTTTCTGTGGCCAACAACCACTACCTCGTATCCCCTTATGAGTTTCCACCTGTTTTCTGCAAATTCACTTCTATAGCCTTCGTCATCTAGCCTCCCCACTAATATCATATTAATCCTGAAACTGGGTACATACCTGATACCATACAAAACTAACTCGGTCTCGCTGTTAGTCCTCAGACGCAGCTCCCCAATTCCTCTGGCATTGGAAAGTCTCACATTCCCTATCATCATCATGCCATGACTGCATGTAGTGAGGGACGTGAACCAACTCCTGTTTAAAGACACATGCACCGATGCTACACTATCCACTACTCACTCTGATGACGAGTCCACAAATGTTGTGTCACTCTCAACACATGCTAACAGCATGTCATCTGACAAAACATTTGTCTGTATTTCCTTGGCTTGATCCTCTTTAAGGTTCTTACAGTGTTTCTTGAAGTGGCACTTCTCATGGTAGTAAAAACATTCAATATCACTACTCCCACTCCTTTTGCTATGTCCCTACAATTTCTCATATCTCATATTCCCTTTGCCTTTGTTATGCACTGTTAACGTTGACTCCATAGAGTTCTCCCTACCAGAAGTGGATGCAGAATTCTTCTCACTTTATTTCATGCGAATCTCCTCAACAATTGTAGCATCACAAATATCTGAAAATTTCACTCTTATCCCCCAACGATTTCGACACCACCATCTTCACTGTTTCCCAACTCTCTGGCAAAAAAGACAGAAACTTTATAGCCTTCGCCTCATCTGAACAAGTGATCACCATCGATTCCAACTGGTTCATCAGTTGAGTGACCTAATTGATGTGGGAGTTCACCAACATGCCTTTCTCGATTTGAATGTTAAAGTATCTCTTAATGAAATACACCTTGCTGTTGGCAGAGAGTTTTTCATATCTGTCTGTCAGTGCCTTCATCAGTCCCATCGCTGTTTTCTAACTTGCTACAAGACTTGTCACATTCATCAACAAGCACAACCTGATGATTACTACGACCTGTTCATCCATCTCCGCCAATTCTTAGTCTACCATCCCATCTTGTCGATCCTTCAAGGTTTTGTGTATCTTCTTAAACGTCAGAAGATCTGTCGCTTGCATATTCCAAAACACGAAGTTTTCCCCATCAAATCTCAAAACCCCCTCGAAATAGTGATGTGACGTTCCACTGGATTCCATGAAGCTGAACCTTATAACTTTGATACCACTTGTTGGGAAAATTACTTACCAGGAATATTTCCCCCTCCCACAGTTCTTTAGTGAAAACTAAGTCTAGTGAAAACTAAGTCAATCACACAATAAGAGAAATATAGGGAAAGCGCAGTAAACTACACAAGAGATTTATACTAGTTCACCCGAACTATGGGCTACATTCAGTCTTCCCCGACAACATAATCTACTATGATTTTGGGATAATACAACGAATATAATAATCTCTCAAATCTAGAGGCCTTCGAGGCCACCTAGCTTCTAGGAACTACAACAAGAATCCTAGGAAACAAGATTTAAAAACTTCACCAAATACCCACGAAAATAGGTTTTTCGACGATGCTCTACTGCCTCGGGATCTCGCCTCTGAAACTCTGCCGCTATTCTCTGAAGATTTGCGCACCTACACGATTAGCTGCCACTTTGATGTGCTATAACACAAACAAATCATAAACAAAAGGGCTCTTATTTATAGGAGGTCAAATATCCTAATCATTATAGGAAAACAATATTATAATCTTTTTCTTCATACGACATAAGTTTCCTGATTTGGCTCCATTATCCTAACATGAAAGAACAAACATGTTAGTTGACCTCAAACATAATTGCGTACGTGACTCAAGCGGGTGGGTCGTGGGTTGTCGGACCTGAGGTATGCACCTTAGACTTCACTTTAATATCTTGGTGACTGGCTCCTCCCGAGCTTCATATGTCGGTCGACCTATGTAGTAACTCGGTACTTGTACCTTGTTAAGATTTGTCTCCAAGCTATCTTAAATGATCCATATGTCATGTCAAATTTTACCATCTAACAATGGTTGAGTGAGTGAAAGATAGATTAGAAATGATTTGTAAAGTTTAACCAAATCATAAGAATTATTGAAAATTTTAAATTATATGCAGCCAATTATAACTAAGCTTAAATCATAATAACTTGTTTTTTTTTTAGAATTTCAACGAATTGAAAATAAGCTCAAATCAATAATACTAAGAAATTATTTATTTATTATTTTTGTGGGTCAAGTTTAAAAATAATGTAATTTAAAAAAATAAATTAAAAAAGTAACGTAGATTTAAAAGTAATAACAAAATAAATATAATTTAAATAAAAAATTACAAAATTAGGTTAGCCATCCAATCTATTGACAAAAATAGGTCATGTGTCAACATGTCATAGATGAGATCGATACTGGGGATGAGTTAGCAGGTGAAATTGCATACAATATATGCAATTTCTATTTACAGAGTACGCAACTTTCCATAATGGAAGTCGCGTACAATGCACGAGATTTCTATTTAAAATATTTATATATTTATCTATGTAGTATTTTTAAATTTATTTTACCTATAAAATATTATTTATTTTATTAGTATTTTGGCTATTAAGGGTAGTAATGATATGGAGAAGAAAATTAATTAAAATAATATTGATTGAAATTGAGATATTTTTATAATAAAGAAATTAAAATATTTGAGAATAAAATTATTTTAAAGAATACTAATTGAAATTGAGATATTTTTAAAATAAATAAATTGAAATAAAAAAAATGAAAAATTGTTTGAGCTCGGGACAGTGAATTAATAAACAAATTGAAATAAAAAAAATCTATTTTAGGTAAAGAAAATACTGATTGAAATTTAAAATAAAGAAATTTAAATAAAAATACTTAATTTTTCAAATTTAAAATAAATAAGTTAAAATAAAAAATTACTTAGTTGAAAAAAAAAATTGAAAGAAAGAAAGGTCTCATAATAAATAAATTGAAATAAAAAAATGAAAGATTGTTTGAGCTCGGGACTGTGAATTAATAAACAAATTGAAATAAATAAAAATCTATTTTAGGTAAAGAAAATTCGGATTGAAATTTAAAATAAAGAAATTTAAATAAACATACTTAATTTTTCAAATTTAAAATACAGAAGTTAAAATTAATTTTTCAAATTTAAAATAAAGAAGTTAAAATAAAAAATACTTAGTTGAAAATAAAAAAAAATATTGAAAGAAAGAAAGGGCGAGAATCAAACCCAAAAACCCTTAATTACTTGGGTATTTTCCGGGCACTGCACCACCATGAGATTTTTGAAACTTC